CAAGTTCGATTCCAAATTAAGACATTCCCAATAAATACTCAAAATACATCAAGAACATGCCAAAATCATTTCAAAAACCAATGATCTCAAATACTTCAAGAGCAAATCGAGAAATATATCTCCATAAACTAACTCACCATCGAAAGCATCGTCAAACACTGTGCTCACATCCGGTGGTATGAACATACGCTCATCCATTTCGCCTTTCCTTATCATTGCTTTCTCGTACATCTCGTTCAAACTTTCTCTACAATTCAAACACTTAATTACTGCAACAAATATACGCAAAACTCAATCAGTTTCTTAAGAAAATCTTTCAAATTTACAATGCACAAAGCAAATTGCGCAAACAATTATCACAAATCAACAAAAAACTGAAGTAAAATGAATCGATTTCAATAAAATTAAACGAAAAATCGAGAGACTGCACGAAATCAAAACCAATCCTAACATGTTCTGATCAACATTCTCAACGAATTCATTCATCGACTCGGCGTTTGCCGTCACTTTTTGCTCGTTTATCAACGAGTGCAGTTTCGGTAACCACCAATGTGCTCGAAAATGTTTTGCGTCCAAAACGACATCTTTGAAAATTCGACACAATGTTTCTAATGCAGATGGCTCGTCGGGTGGGATCAAATTAACTGAAATAGTCAATTATTCGATGAAAAACAAATTCTTGAAATAGAAAAACTCGATGAAGAAAATTTCATGCAGTCTACAAAAAAAAGACTGGTAAAATGAAAACTACGAAAATACAACGAAATCTTGACGAAACAAATGCAAAACTCTAACCGAAATCTTGATTAAGCAAATGCTGGAAAGACGACGAATTACGAAGATCTTGAAATATGAAGTCAACTGAACACAGCAGCAAATGAAAACTGTTCATTAGGTCGTCTGTTATGAGTTGTTCTGAAACGGAAGCACTCAAACAATTTAGACGATCCATCAACACTTCAGACATAAAACCATTTTAGAGATAAAATCAAACAAACTTTTCATGGCAATGAATAGTGTCCAAAGAAGTTCGAAAATCTTTTTGCAATTGATTTGTTTGGAGCTTTGCTCGGATTTTATTTGTTCGCTGTGTTCTTTGCTCGACGGTGAGGATGTCGACGGTGAATTGGATGATTGTTGTGGTGAGGCGAAAACTTTTCGGAAGATCGGCAAAAGTTTCTTGTAGACAACTGTTGAGACGGCCAACGAAGACTGAATCCGGCTGACCTGCTCTTGCATACGTCTGGCTGCACCAGCCATTGCAACCCAACGACTCAGCTTATCAAAAAATTCCAATACACTGAAAATTTCGACTATTGAAAATGGTCGTTATCTGGGTTAATTTAATCGAAACTGTAAATGTGATGAGAAGTTTAAGAAATTTCAAAATAAATTGCAAATTTCACGAGGAGGAGAATAAATCATGGAAGGATGTTGACAGACCTGATTTTGCATATTCGAGTGAGTTTCGAGATTGGATACNTGGTCGTTATCTGGGTAAATTTCATCGAAACTGATGTAAATGTGATGAGAATTTTAAGAAATTTTAAAAGAAATTGCAAATTTCACGAGGAGGAGAATGGAAGGATGTTGACAGACCTGATTTTGCATATTCGAGTGAGTTTCGAGATTGGATACTGGAATCGTAGCTCATGACCAATTGGTGTCAACTGCCACATTGATAAATACAAAGCGCATGCAATCCACGATAAGTTACCACCCTAGAATATAAAGACACTGTATAATTGCCTAATAAAAAAAGGTAAATTATAAACCTTCAAACTGATTC